GACGAACTGGGTCAGGCCATGTAAATGTGGAGGGTACAAAGTGGAGTCGCCCGGCTCACCTCTCCCGCAGCCAAGTGCTACTTGAGCGGCCCTTCAACGCCGTCCGAGGTGTCGGCGAGTCAACACGCGCTTTCCATCTTGGAGCCTTCGAGACCGGGGACATTGAAACAAATAGAGACGAGCTAGCGCCTTCAAACAGGAGCACTTCTTCTTCACACTTATATAGCTAATAGCGAAGATTCGTTTTCAAAATCGTTCACCCCTGTGAAAGACGATTTTGGTGGTTAAGGGGGTTGGAGGAACCTTTAAAAGCTCCGTATCCCGTCCGAATGTCCTGTCGGCATGTGTACTACGGATATGAAGTGTGAAAGTGTTACGCCGGCAAAAGGTTACGTTGTTGCTATGTGCCGGCAGCTGCGGACATGATGCGTCTTTCAAGAGCGCCGCCTTTGAAGATGAGAAAGCGCGCCTTGTTCTTTGTAACGCGCCGCTTGACGCAGCCACCAACCCCCCCCCCCCACCGTTCGCCGACGCGGGGCGGTCGACATTGTGACACTCGTGACGAAGAGGAAAGCTACTGAAGCATCGGGACCAGCCAATCACACATCACGAAGACAATTTGTCTCATTCATGAAACAGACGGCAAAGAAAAAAAAATAGTTACATCATAGGACTGCATCCATCAAATATATTTAACTCCCAAAGACGTATTTAGATGTCTTTTCAGACTGCATCCATCCATTTTCAATCCTGAAGAGGGTCGCGGTGATGGCCGGAGCACAACCCCCCCCCCCCCGAACTGGTTGAGAGACAGCCAACCGCTCGCAACCCACAATCACACCGTTACTGAGTGGGAACCGATCGCACGCCGCCCGCACACAAATCAGGCGAGTGGACAGCTTCAAAAAGGTTCTCGTGTGCTAATTGCGTAATTGCTGTTAAGTTGGGTTATTTTTCAATCACAAAAACAATCGTAAATAAACAACAATTGGTCAAAATAAAATTGTATCCGATCATTCGATGGAATACTCGATGC